GCATATTATAGTAGGGTCAGTTGGGCATTGTTTGGAGGTTTGACACAATTCACTCTGCCAGAAATTTGGAAAAGCATGCTATACAGCTTGCTCTTCATGCTGGAAGCTCCAATACAAACATTTCAGAAGGTTTGGGTGTCAATCTGAGGACAGCGCAGAGGATTCAGAAAGAGTTGGATGATATATCCAGTCAACATCATAGTGTTTGGAGTGATCACTAGTAATAGTGACATTATGCCTTCCTTCATCTTCCCACCAGGCTCAGCCTGAATACAAAGGCCTACATCAAGTGCCTCGATTGGCTAAGAGGATAGCTGCTGGAAGACCCTAAGTCTGGCAACATGACTCTACATTATGCCACACAAGCTGGAGAACCAATTCATGGCTGTCAGACAATTTCTGTGACCCCATCACCTCCTTGCATCTGACCACCTGACTCCCTAGACTGTAAACCCCCTTGATTATTATGTGTGCAACGCAATTGAGCAAAAGACCAACAAAACTCCTTGTGACACCAAAGATGATCTGAAGCAAGAATTATGATAAGCATTCACCAATTTAAACAAGGAGACTATTCAGAAGAGTTGCAAGAGATTCTGAAGTCATCTGGAGGTTGTGATTGAAGCCAATATTGAATAAATTTACTCTTTGGTATTTCAAGATATTTTTGTGTCATTTTAGTAAATGTATCTGTTAAAATGAGATGTCTGTGTTATTTTAATTTTTGCATAATTTAGATGACAATTTATCCATCACAGCCTGTATATATGGGCACATGGCCAAATGATTAGAATGCTTGCTTTCCACCCATGAAATTTGGGTTCAAATCTCATATGGTCAATTTGTTGGAAATGTGACTTCTTGACATTATCAATCTAAGGCAGCAATTCCAGCGTACAGTACCAAAGAAAGTAACTGAAAATCATATCCCAAATTGACCAAAGCCTTGTGAGGAAAAATTGGGTAGACAGAACTGTTAGTAAGTCATTAATAGTTTGTGCTAGCTCAAAGGCATAAATCATTATGACTGAGGGTTTGAGCATAATGCTATTGTTCTAACTGCCAATCATACCAGATTATGCAGTCCCTCCCAGAAACTTTAACTACGATCTGCTGAACATAGTTGCAGTACAAACCACAGGTTGCATATCTGATTGTTGAACAAACACAAATGTACCTGGGCAAGCATCTGCAACAGGGATTGTCTAGTCGCCCTTGAAAACTGGTATGTTTGACAACTGAGTAGTGGCCATATATATATATATATATATATATACACACACATACATAAATACATACATATGCCAGAGCAAACAAACGAAATAAGCCACCTGAGGAGATCATAGTGGCTGAAACCATGGTAGTGTTGTGGTCAGCATTCATTTTTTTTAAGACATATATATTTACAAAGATAAATTATGAAAGCAATAGAATGTTTAGCTTCCTGACTTTGAGCCATGAGTATGTGTAAGGTTCTAGGTTAAAAAAAAAAAAAAATGCAGAATCAGATTTCAGGGTCACATCACATGTAAGAATGGCATATCTGAATCTTGCTTCATCTAATTTTTCTCTTTGTGATAAAGGGTCCAAACTTAGCTGAACAAAATGCAAGTAAATAAAACAAAGATCAGAAAGGACAGAAAAAGACGGGTAAATTGAAACCAGTAAAGAAAATAGAAAGAAAAACAACAGAAAATGTTAAAGGCCTGAAATGATAGACAATGGGGGAGCAAACACAAAGAAGGTCAGGAAGAAAAGGGGGGGAAAGATAAAGAAGATTTAAAAGAAAGCTTTGTATCTATATATATAAAAATGTCAACTCTTTGAACCTGTTTGATTCTACTTTGAGGTATGCACATACATAAATGCTTGCATTTATATAAAGAATCAGGAGTTTCTTTTCTTATTAGATTTATTCTGTGAATTTCACTCTTTTCAACTGGGCTAAAGATTTCTGGGCTTTTTTTGCATGTTTACATAAAAGCCATTTCTTTGCAGTGAACGTCTCTTGTGTCGCTTCCTTATTTGTAAAACCTGCTTTCGTTCCTGAACACTAATTACCTCCAAAAGAAAGAGAACTGCTTTAGGTAAAAACAGTCAATAGCGTGCAGGTGAATGAAAGTATTCTACGTGTATTTAGTCTTTGGAGAGAACAAAACCCAGGTGTGTATGCTACCTTTTCTTAAGCACTACATTTCTATTGATAAAGAGTTATTTCTCTATAGTTGTCTTTAAGCATATTTAAATCGTGTTCTGTTGGATAAAGTCCAAATGAGGGTGGTTTTCAGTTCTTCACAAGAAATTTAAGCTCAAAATTCTTTAAGAAAAAAAAACATTCTTCCTGAAATAGTAATGGTAATATTCTGTTTCCCTACAAGGAAACATTCAGCATTCTTTGACTCAGTAGCCAACACTACATTTGCTTGAAATTTATAAAATCTTTTTTTCTGGAGAATAGGTTTCTCAAGTCCAGTGACAATTATTCTTCTTTCCACTATTGTTGGGGGTTTCCTTCCTAACGTTGTATTGTGAAATGTCAACATTTTGATTATGTAATTATTTTCTCTTTAAGTTACATATGCTATCCATTTTAGGTGTTACTGCTGTTGGTAGTCCTCAAGTACGTAGGTTGATTCATTTTCTACGCCTTATCAACACTTTGCAGGTTTTGCAGGTTATTTAAAGCCAGAATGTTTTTTTAGATAATAATGGTTTAGTAGTAAGAGTCTTACTAATTAATCCATAGTTGGGGAAGAAGTGGATACCCTTCCTAAGGATTTTTGTGCATAAGTAAATATAACTAAACCAAGAGGAACTCTGCTCTTTGATTAACAATTATGAGCCATTATTCATTACACCACTCACAAGTCCAGGCTTATAGCACATGGTATTTCCAAGTGGTCACGTATCTAGGTAATGACCAGGTTCAAAATTGCTTAACTTTGGTGATCATACAGAAACTGCTGTTTCAATATGATGTGTTCATAAACCTTAGTCTACAAGTGCTGTGGTTATTATGCATAATAATAAATTCTGTTAGGTTAATGATACAGTAGTTAAGGAAATCAAGAAGAAAGTACTAATCATTAACTGTATTAAATGCGTGCTTGTCAGCAAAAGGGTTAACTCAAAAAAGTTACATATTGGGGATGTCAAAATAAAGCAGATGCAGAATTTAACAATCTGGGTACTATAGAAACAGATGTCACAAACTATTAAGCAGATATACAAAGACACATTATAATAGAAAAAAAGCCTTTGAGAAACTAAGCAAAGTATTAAGAGATAGGAAGATGCTATTAGAAACAAAGAAAAGAGTGCTGAATATATAATATCCAAATTCTATTCTGGCAGTAAATATTGGACAATCTCTTTACTGATGACGAAGAGACCTGAAGTAACCAATATAGTTTCACTGATAAATGATGAACCCACTGTAGACACAGCATATGCACGAGGAGGATATTTTAAGGAAAAGAGGAACTTCAAGGAAACTGCTGCTGAGATTTCTGGTATGCATAATGAGAACAGAATGTCTAGAGAATCTAACACTGACAGGACCTACTGAAGGCAAGAGAAGCAGAGTTTGAGTGTCCTGATGGCAGAACATGGATAAAGAAAGTAAATTAGCAAGAGTCACTTTGCCCATATCTTGAAATGATGCATCATGGGAAAAGGATATTAACAGTTGGGATTAATACCTGAACTGGGAGAGGTTGAGTTATGCCTTTCCCCAGATTATTAGTGCAAAGTGAAAACAAACCATCTCAGCTAGAATTTCAACTATGCTCTCCTATGTTATTTACTTATTGTTAGGCCAACTCTTCAAATCCATTTGAAATGTTTGACAAGAATAAAACAGATTTTATATCACATTGTTGCTTTCAGCAGATATACAAAATTAATACCTAACACCTTTATTGTTTAAGTTAATAAAGAATAAGTATCTTTTTTTTTCTATCAAACTAGCATATTTGGATGATATTTTGCAGTGAAATCTGAAAGTAAAAGATTGGCTTGTTTGTTTAATGGCATATCAACTCTTTATGGGACATTTGAAGTTGAAATTTTATTGTGAAATTTGGCAATTTTTTATCTAATAATCTACTGCTGGTAATTTTAAAAAAAATGTATTGCTGTTAATATTTTCTAATGTAGTTTTATATTTTCATATTTTGATCGTAGTTTGGGGATACACTGTTTGCCCATAGCTAGGACCCTAACAGATTACTGTGGTCCAACATATTTTTACAAATGAAATCACTTGTTAAAAAACAAGATTATTTATTTCCTGGTGGAGAGATTTTAAAGGATATTAGATATGTTCTACGAGACATGTTTGGTTTATTTTGTTTTATGGCATATCAACCTCTATGGGTTATTTAATGCCAGCAAAATTTTTTATTGCTGGTAATATTTTGTTTTGTCAAAAATCTGTTTCTGGTAATATATTTCCTTCAAAATTGTATTCCTGGTAATAATTTTTTTCAAAAAAGTATTGCTGGTAATAGCTAACTATTTGACCATAGCTGGGACCCTAACAGATGCTACCACCTCGGGTCAGAGTAGACTTGGGAACATCAGCAATTAAGAGGTGGTTACACGCTACTCAAAACCTTCTGATCAGAGGTCTTGCTGCTGGATGTAGTTTATCATCTTACCCAGGATAATGAAAGTAAAATTTCATGTGGATTCTGATTTTACAGAGAGATATAAAGCATACATATATACATATGTGGTAAGAATGTGGATACAGTTAAATTAATAAGAAACCAATTGTTATAAGGCAATGGTTAAAAGAGATTCCCTTCAGAGAGTAGTGAGCCTTGATTTTTACAGTTACTGAGATAAGTTCTGTCCCATTGGTGTAACCTTGGCAAGTTGATTTCTTTTCTATATTGATTTTCCAGTTTGTTTCTTCCCTCCTTTCTTTATCGGCTTCATTGTACAATTCAGACATGTTTTTCCCACTTGTAATTTTCTTGTATTTTTTTTCCCAGCATTGTTCTTTTCTTCTTTAACTCTCCACATTATGCTATTAAAGTTTTGGTATATTTTTTGTATATCATTGTTTTTACTTATCCTCTCTTTTTCTATTTTTTCTTACCTCTTCTTTTTTCCCCCCTCTGTCTTTTGCTCTTCTTATTTTTTTATCTTTCTTTTTCTTTTTTCTTTTCTTTTTTTTCTCTCTCTCCTTCCCTCTTTTACAATCCCCCTTTTCCTCTCTTCTGTTTTTCCTCCTTTTGTCACTTCTTTACCTCTCTTCTCCCCCTGTCCCTTTTCTCTTTATCATTTTCCCTTCTCTTTATTTCCCCTTCAGTTTTTCCTTTCCCTCATTTGTTTTACCATCCGCTCCCTTTTTCCCTCTTAATTTTCATCTATCTTTTCTCCTTGCTTCCTTCTTTCTTCTCGTTTCGACATTTCCTTTCCAGTCTCGCAGAGTAGAACTTTATTCCTGTTATCTCTTTATGTTTTAAAGGAATAAATTTAATTTCAGTCTTTGTTGCTTATAGATATCATCAGTCATTCCATAGTTTCAATCAATTTAAAATGCAGGCCTATAAATGCAATATAAGACAAGATGAAACACAAATGACTTTACCAAGCAAATAAACACATTAGGGCAAGTAATATATGAAGATACACTCATTCATGCATGGCCACTAGACTTCAAGCAGATCTACAAAAACATGATCAACTGACAATATATACAACAAAAACATGATCAACTGACAACATAATCAGATTAACTGATGCATGACATGCAAAATGATGCAACAGAATGCATCTGCTTTTATATGCATAATATATATATTCAGTATCCTTGCAGTTTGTGCCTGTGCTTGGATATTTGTATAAGGTGTAACAAAAATACCTCCCAGAAATACCTCCCACAATGGTAAGACATTAGTGGTTATGGTATCTTCATCTAGCTAATGTTTTACCATTATGTGGGTGGTATATCTGCAAGATATATGTAGGTGGGAGATATTTCTGACACACCCTGTATAAATGATTTTTTAATTTTGTTTTTGCTTGTTTAATTTGAATTCACCTTGAACAATGGATGTAAAAGAAACCTATAAACATTTATATACAGACATAGATTCATGTATCTCATAAATCCTCGGTCAAATATTGGATTATAAAACAATACTATATGAAGGCCTATCAATGTCTGCCTTGTAACACGTAGTTATTAGCTGAATTCTGATCTGAAATTCTCTCTCTATAATATTTATTCTATTGACTGAATATATTAACACACTAAAGAGAATATGTCATATTAGTTTGGGTGCATATAACTCACCCAGTATTTGTTTTTTCCATGAAAAGTATTTTCTGTTTATTAATACCATGGTTTTTCAGGAAATTACTGATGGTGGATCTCCACACATTCCTTTTCTTTGTGAATTAACGTCTCTTCTGAGGAAAGATAATGAATTAGATTCTTGTTGACCTCTCTACAGTTTAGACTTCAAAATTGTCTTTCTCTTAGACTGGCTGCCATCCAAGGCTACTCTTGTATACCAAATGTAAGTGCTGTCAATACACCCTCAATTCCAACATGAGGCTGATTTGGTATAACTTGCTTATTATTTTAAAAATAATTTTCTCTGTAATACAATTTTTTAGTTCATTTATTTAATTTATGGAAAACCTTCCAGTGAAATGTTTATTTAAACTGACACAACCATTCCAAATGGTGCATTTTATTTGATACAAAAGAATAGAAAATCTAATCTATTTAATCTATGCTGCATTCATGGAGTTTAATGACACTCATTTCCTCCATATTCCAGTTGTAAGGAGAAAGTTCCACTCATTATAGAACATACTCCATGTGCATGCATACCTGAACACTACGCTCTTCCATCCTGGGGATGACAGTAAACTACATCCACACCCTGAGTAAGACGATAAACGACTTCCAACAGCAAAGCCTCTGATCAGGAGGTTTTGAGGAGCATGGAACCACTTCTTAGTTACTGGTGTTCCCAGGTTCACCCTGACCCAGGGTGGTAGCACTTGTTAGTGTTCCAGCTATGGGTAAGTAGTTAACCCACAAACTGAGGTCAAGATACTATGAAAGTGTGAAAATAGGTTTTAATACCAGAAATACTTTGTAAAAAATTATTACCAGCAATATATTTTTGAAAAAAAACATTACCAGCTATACATTGAAAAAAATTACCAGCAATACATTTTTTAAAAAAAATATATTACCGGCAGTAAAAATTTTGTCAGCATTAAATGACCCATTGAGGTTGCTATGCTACAAAACAAACAAAACTAAACCACTACATTCTTGCTCTCTTCAAGTCAAGGGTCACTCATTATCTCTCCACGATATCATCATAATCTTCACTTCCTACATTTCCTTTACATTCATATTACACACCTCATTCAGGAATCTTCCACATTGTATTGATCGAGTTGTTTTTTTTTTTTTGTTTATTTTAAAGAATAGTCTGGCCTTCCCTTCTACTAACCCATAACTGGAAGGAGGAGAGATAGGTTCATGCCTTTCCCAAGGGTGTTTGTTTGAAAGTAAATGCAACAATCTCAACTGGAATTTGAATTCATCTCAACAAATTCAGTTTCTGTGTTGATGACCATTACTCTACCCAACATGCATAATGCTGTATTGCACCTGTCATCATACTTCCAGTCAAGTCTTCCTTGGATTATGACTTTGAGGTCAGGAATAGTATCACAGCTGGAAAACCAGTAACACAAACTTAGGGTACCCTCAAAATATTTCACAATTTGCCCAGAATGCTAATAAAAAATGTCAATTTTGCAGCTTATATGTACTTGCCTCACCCTAACAGATGTTGTCTTTAACCAGAGCAAGAACTTTGTAACAAATTTCTACTTCCTGAATTCTAAATTCCAACCAACATCAAATATTTCAAGTTGAACTCACTTTAAACAGATAAGAATTTCTCAAGTGGATAATGTTGTAGGCTGCATAATATAATTTTTAGATTTCCAAAATTTCTTTAAAGCTTGACTAACCCCATTCCTTCATTTTTGAAGAACCTGTGCTTGTTTTAATATCTCTAGAATTATACTGAATATATTAGAATTATGAAAATTGTCAAAATTGTACTATTCTATGCTTTGCTATTCAGATTTGCATGCTTAACTTGATTGTTTTTCTCCCATTTCAGTCATTGTTCCCTCTTCCCTGATTCTATACCCAATATTCTTGGAATTTCAAACTAAACCCTTTAGTCAATCTACATAAAAAGACTGTTCACATTCAGTTTTCTATGCTTAGGGGATGTTTTGTATCATTTAGCACCCTCTAGTCTTATTCACTTTTTGCATTGTTCATTTTTATCAACTGAATCAAAGCATATGATTTCTTAAGACTACCAGACGATATACTCTCTCTTAGAAACTAAGGTTTGCTCAGCATAGTTCCAAAGTAAACTCTGCAGACTCTGTAGGAGTTAAACAAACACAAATTTGCCTGAACAGATGTCTGTAACAGGGATTAGCAATCCACCTGAGCAGACAGGTATAGTCAGATACAAGCAACAAACTAGTATACATATTGATTGATTGAGGCAGAAAATTGACAGTTACTATGCAGTGTTGATTTCTATGTCCACATTGTCTCTCTCAGTTACTACTGCTTTGCATACATGCTAAAAAAATAATAGTTTTATGGTATGTTATATTTATGGGTAAAAGTGCTCAATATCTGGGATAGTCTGTGTAAATATAAGAGTGAACACTGAGATCCACTTTGTAGTGACTATAGTGTCAACCCTTTTATATTTATATATATATATATATATATATATATATATTCTTGTTACTATAAACTTTATTTTTGTAGATAAGCATGTTTGACTAGATATTACTGTTTATTTAAAAACAGTGAAGTTTATGCCTATCAGCCTAGATGAGTGATAGTCTGATTAAAGAAAATATCCATCTTAGCAGGAATTGCACCTATATTTTGAAAAAAAAAAAACAGAATTCAGTTTTGATTCCTGTCAAGAGGTACAATTTTTATTAATAGGACTCTTGTATGATCTGAGCCACTAGACGTTAATTTTGATGTTTGCAAATAAACAGGGATGTCTACTCAAACATGTCTACTCATTAAAAGAATATTTGGAGTAATAAAAAATACTGTCGGATTGAAAATTAAAAAAAAGAATGAATCTATTAAATGTTTAATTTCATATATAATGGAGATTTTTTTAGGCATGTAAAGTGGTTTTGTAGTTATTAAAGAAGAGTGGATAAACAAAACATGCAGAAATAAAGAGATTGATTACTACAGACAAAGAAGATATGCATAAACAAATAAGGGAAATAACAGGACAGAAGACATGCTCACCAACAGGCTGAATAAAATCCAAGGGTGGAACATTCATATTAGAGAAAGAAAAACATTCTTCAGTGCTGGAGCCAGTATATTGGAGAACTCTTCCATGACAAAAGAGAACAGCCAGCAATACACAGAACTACCGACAGACCTAAAATTCTAAAAACCAAAGCAGAAGCTGCACAAAAACAAGGTGGCAGGGCCAGATGGAATTGTAACAGAAATGCTGACAGCCTTAGATGAATTTAGCATAGACAAGATCACAGAAATAATAAATGAAATCTACAACAGTGGAGACATACTGGGAGATCTCAGCAGGTTGGTTAGTTTAAGTGGGAAAGACCAAGAAGGAAGATGAAGTCACTTTTGCAGTGGGGAATTTTGAGATGCCATAATGACCATCCCTTCTCCAACCATTGAGAATGGTGATGTGCATTTCAAATGAAATAAGACAAAAGGAAAAGGGGAAAAAAAAAGAACAAAATAAAAAATAAAACAAAATTTGAGTTAAGCTTTTGGGGAGGCATGAATCCACATTGTCCCATCGTGAGATAATTTGACACAATATCTTCTCACAAGCATGTCACAAGATTGGCAAAGTACTCACTAGGACAATCCCTTTTATGATTTTACATGCAGAGCCGGCGCATACTACCCACAATCACCCGGACTGAGAGTCCCAGTCTGGCTGGGGACCCCAGGCTGTGATTTGTGACCTCACTATCTCAACAACATTTGCTTTTTTTCTACCTATATTTATATATGTTAAAAAATTAAACTAAACACCACCAACTATCAAAGGATGAAACATTTTTGCAGATTTTCATGTCATTCTGTTTTGTTTATTTTTCATCCAAATCCATGAATTTGTTTTGCTAATGTTAAGTCTCATATAAATACTATATAAAATTAATTGTTTCATACATGTTAAATAGGTTAAAATTATTCAACTTTATTTAACTTTACAAATTAAACAAAACACAACCATTAAAGGATGAAAAATTTTTGCAGATTTTCATGTCATTCTGGGTCCTTCCATTTTTTTTTTTTTGTCCAAATCTGTGAATTTGTTTTACTTTTGCTAAGTCTTGAA